AGTCCCCATCCCTGGAGGTATTTAAGAAATGTGTAGACATGGTTCTTCAGGGCATGCTCTAGTGCCCAAGATTATTGGTTTGTCGTGGGCTGCTGACTGGGTGGGTGATGGTTTTTTGGTTTGGTTGTTGTTGTGTGTTTAGGTGGCGGGTGGTGTGGTTTGGTTTTTGGTTTTTGGGTTTTTTTGTTTTTTGTTTTTTTTTTTGTTTTTTTTTTTTTTTTTTTTTTTTTCTTTTTTTTTTTTTTTTTTTTTTTGTAATGAACCATGTCTAAATGATGGTTGAGAAACAGAGGAGATGGAAAATGGAGGTTGCTCGTACTCCTGTTTCCTGAGGATATGATCCTGGAAGAAGAAAGAGCTCAGCACAACGAGCTATACCACTCCTCTTCCCAGAAACCTGCATGGCTGTGCAAAACCAGTTCCAGCCAGTCCAACAAGGTTTCACTGTAATAAAACACTGCTTATCTTACTTCTAGTGAATCCCCTTTCATCTTTGCACCTACCTGGACTCAGGGCCAATTGAAAAAGAGATGGGTTCAAAGATTAACCATTATGACGGTTGGAACAAAGAGCTTGCTTTCACCTTCACTCCAAGGAGGTGTTTCCTGCCGGCAGTGCTCCCTCACCCCATCACTGCCAGCCCTTTCTGCTCCTTCCATCCCTCTGTGACTCTCTTGCCTTCCAGAGGTGGAGGAACAGCAGCCCTGGTGAGTTCTGCCCCTGATCCTCCTTCCCTTCTCTTCCCTCCTGCTCTGATTTCAGCAAAGTCTGCAACGGCTCCAAACTTGCTTTCTCTTTATAGTGGAACAGAGAAGTGAAACATCGCGCTCTCAGCAAGACGCAGAGCAAGCAATAGACTTTTATAAGGTAGGAGAATTTGTCTTCCTATATTTCATCCCACCTATTGGTTAGCATGTACGCCTCCGTGAAGCTGTGAAGTCTTCCTGTAGTTTTGGTCAGCGTAGCTGCACAAAGTTTCTCGTGAGGCACGTGCTCCCTGTGGCCCTGGGCTTGTGGGGAAAGAGTCCAGGCTGAGAAAGCAGCCAAAAGGAGGTTTGCTGACCTGAAACCATGTACTGGTATGTTAGAGAAATGGTGGGCCCACGTTATCCACCTGGTCTAGAGATAGGACACTACAAAATCCAAGGGAGAAAAACAGTAGCCAAAAGAGCATCCTTTACAAGGCCATTTTCAGTGCTGTTTGGCCACTCAGTAAATGCTATCAATGACAATGCTCTGACACTGGGGGTGGTCACATCACACAGTCACTTCCTGCCACGTTTCGTCCCAACGCTCCCTGCAGCTTCAATGGATCAACCCAACCTCCAGCAGGAGGCAGGGAGCACCAGCAACCATTAACAATCATGCATTCATGCTCTAAGTTAGTTGAGGAACCTGATTGGGTAGAGAGGAAACAGTTCATGTCTGGGTCCAGCTGCCTGAAATGACCACCTGCAATGTCCTTGACCACCTGAGGTGGGGCAAAGGAGAAGGGTGGAGACAGGAGGCTCCCCCATTGGACCTGCTGCCTTGCTCTGCAATGGCACTTCAGGTCCCTCTTGTGGATGCAGCTGCAAAGGCTTGAAAGGATTGTGGCCAACACCCAGCTCTCAGCCTTTTACTCGTTGCTGTATTAATTAGGACGAAACACTGGAAAGGATAATTCTTGTGGTAGTGTCAGAGAACGTGCCCACAAAGGAGAATTTCTCTTCCAGCCCAGTTATTCCATTTTTTCCTTTCCAAAAGCATGTTTTCCCTGCCTGGTGAACTCTGACAGTTTGCACTGACTGCAAATCACAAACCCATGGAGTTTTCCTTATGTGGACTTTTTTTTCTCCTTTTGACTGCAATGTTTCACAGGAAACAAACAGCCCCATTGTGCTGCTGTCAAAGCACGTCTGTCATGAGGAGATACGAGTGACAAAGGAAGGGATGGGCAGACTCCAGAATCCTGCAGAAGCTTCAGACTAAATACTGCTTTAACAGTGACCTTTTTGTAAAAATCAGGAGTGGTGCTGAGAGCAGGGCAGGTGAACCTGTCAGACGTAGTGTTGAAGTTATCTCTACAGCAGCATCTAGCCAAACACTACCTTAACGATGGACCTGCTGCCTTGCTCTGCAATGGCACTTCAGGTCCCTCTTGTGGATGCAGCTGCAAAGGCTTGAAAGGATTGTGGCCAACACCCAGCTCTCAGCCTTTTACTTGTCACTGTATTAATTGTGAGGAAGTTCTGGAAAGGAAAGGGTTGTCAGACTACAGAGTCCTGCAGAAGCCTCAGACCAAATACTGCTTTCACAGTCACCTTTTTGTAAAAATCAGGAGTGGTGCTGAGAGCAGGGCAGGTGATCCTGTCAGATGTAATGTCACAGTTCTTTCTGGGATGACACAGAACACAAGGTTTAAAGGAGAGAGGAGAGAGGTGGTGCTTGGTTTCACAGAAGATTTTGTTCTACCACCTTTCACTGCCTCTTACATCAGAAAAGATGAGCATCTGGCTCCAGAGAAGAACGGCAATATTTTGTTCCCTCATCCTTTTCCCATGTGTATTCCTGTTTGTAACAGGTAAGAAAGCCTCTTTCAAACTGTTCGCTGACATTTTCCAAGCTAAAGAGACTTAGGATTTGTTACTTCTCTTGGGGGTCAAAGCAACAAGGATCTGCTTGATGCTTTCCTCATGTACTTCCTTAGGTGAAGTGGTGGGATGTGCTCGCAAGCAGGTCCTCTTGCCAGCTCTCACCTTTCCTACTCCTCAACTTTCCATGGGGACATGAACATCAGCAGGAGGGTCACACTGAAAGGAGAGATCCTGGCTCTGATGCAGGCAGACAGCTCGACCTTCGAGTGCTCAGGGAGCTCCTTTTCCCAACCTGCAAGTAAAGAAGGAAAATGGTCTAACAAACAATGTTTTTGTTAAAGGGGTAACAGGACAGCAGAGCACCATGGCTCAACAAGGTAAGAGACAACACCTACTTTGAAGTCTTTGAGGAGTAACTGGTATTGTTTTCCAGGCCTCCTACCTCTGATGAGGTGCCTTCTGTCACCTGGGTACTTCTCCCCACCACTGTGGTGAAACTCTCCACTCAGAAGTGTTGTGGACATGGCCAAGACCCAAGGGAAGGGTCTGATAGAATGAAAGATAGTTTTCCATCAGAATGCAGGGTTGGGGTTTCTGTCAATTTTCTTTGGAAGTCCCTTGCACATGCTTGGGCCCCCGTCCCGGTGTCCTAACGAGTCCCTATGAATCCATAATGGGCTGTAGCCTTGGGATGCCCTCAGTCAGTACCAGGACTCTCGACCATTTTCTCTCCTGCCTGATGAAGCCTGAGGGGAAGGCAGTGGCAGAGCATAAGTGGTGTCGGGCCCTAATGACCATGTGGAACATCTGTGAGTCCTGTTTCCCCTCACTCATCTTTTTCTTCTTTTATAGCTTCACAAATTATCTGCAACTTCTCCAAAGGTAAACCCAAGCTCAATGTTTATTTGTCATGGCTGTCTCACTGTGCTGGCCGTTCAGGTCCTGCTTGGGGAGTGAGAGGAAGGGTGAGCTCTTGCTTGATCCACCCACTGCAGAGGTCCCTTTCAGTACCTTGGGCAGACAGTTGTCTACCAGCATGGCATTGCTGGATGCTGTGTAGGGTCTAGACAGGGTGAGAGGAGGCTCTCAGGGCACCTCAGAAAGGTGAGGCTTTGCATTCTCTGGTGGAGGATTGGTTCAGCCTTTGGATGAGCACAGTGAGTGAGTGCTGTGACTTGGCCTTGTTGGGCTTCCCTTTGTCCCACTCAATCCTGCCTTCCTTGAAGGGAGAAACTCTACTGGTGAGGGAGGTTGATGCCGCAGGCATCACTGAGGCTTCACCTCAGTGAAGGGTGAAGTAGAAAACTTTCACCTAGGTGGTTGCCATGGAGTGAAATATTAAATTTTTGAATCAAAAATGCTGTATATGCCTGCAGTCTCCTGATTTGTGGCGTCCTTTGGGACAAAGACAGAAATTTATCATCCCATTGAAAAAAAGAATTTTTGGTGGACCCTCCTTAGAGACTTAATGATCTACTTAATTCTACTTCGATGATATACTAAATACAATTTTTTTGAAAAAATGCAGGTTGGTCTTCGCCATTCATTGTACACACAGTTCTGGCAGCCTTTAGTATCAGCATGACACTGGTGATATACTGTAATATCAGGAAGCTGAAACAGAAAGGTAAGATATTAGAGGAATTCTCTTACATTTCATAGTTCCTTCCTATCAAACAAGAATTCAGTGATCAGCCATTGTCAGCATGGTCCATGCCCTCAAGCATCAAAGGCATCCACGGCAGACATGACAGAGGGCTGACAGCAGCCTCGTGCCCTTCTGGAACATGAGCTGGAGGCCAAGTGCAATACTCAGGGAACCCATGACAGGAGGCAGAGAACGGGCTCTGACTCCCCTGCTCTGTTACACATCCTCCATTATGCTGCTATGTACATTGATTGCTCTTGCCTTTGACACGTCTCCATTTTCACAAGTATCCCCACCCAGGTTTAGGAAACCACCAGTTTTGTTGGACTGGCTGCGTTAAAACCACCTCCACTTTTGGTTTTGTCCCAGATATTTGTACAAGCTGGGCACAAATTCCCTCCAGCACAGAGACCCTACTCTATGCTGTGAACAGCAAACATTTTGTCTGAACTTGAAGGATCTTCAATGTACTGACAATTAGGCTTTGGTGAGTACAGCCTCAGAAAATGGACTCATCATTTCTGATCAGTTCTGCTTTGTTCTCTCTTTCAGTTGACTCCAGAACTATGGAAGAAGGTAATATATGCTAAGCAAAATGCTAAGGAAAAAAAACCTATTTGAAATATTTGAACTTAGATGGCACTGAGGTTTAGATGGGAATGATGCCCCTCTGTTGTTCCCAACTGCGCTGCTGGAAGTTTGGTATGGCCAGAGTCAGTGTGAACCTACTTGGCTCTCTCTGGGTTCTCCCCCAAGGATGGTGCTTCTCACACGGCACAGTCACTCCAGCTGGACCAGATTAGTTCCCAGCTTCCGTGTATGTCATGTGTCTTGGTCCACCATCCTGCCATTGACTTTGGCCCTTTCAGCAGGAGAAACATGAGGGACGAGATATGTCAGGGCAGAGAGTGCACACACAGGCACGAATCTGTAGGCATTGGGAAGTAATGGCCACAGGGAGAGTGCAACAGCAGTTGTGGGGAAGGGAGCTGTGTGGGTGCCCATCACCCATTGAGGTGCAGGCTGGGATTGAGAAGATTCTGCTGCCCCTCACAGGTTGGCTGAGTTCTTCCTGATAGTACTGAAGTCTGCTTATTTTTCAGTTGAATGTCACAGGAATTGGTATTTTAAAATGCCTTTTTTTTCAGGGCGTCCATTATTAGCTGAAGGGAAGTTCTCATTTCTCCGTGTAAACCACCCTCCATGAGTCTCCTTCAATATGAGGGAATACCTTTAAAACAGATGATGTGATAGCTAGAAGATATGGTGAAGGAGAATGTTTGGGAAGAAGGGCAACTCATTAAGGCTGCCTTACATTTCATTCAGAGATGTTATGATACTTTGAGAATGTGGAAGTATTACACATTTGGTCCCCCAAACTGGTGACTAATCTTAATGCTCCCCAAGTTGCATGTCTTGATAATTTGTCCCTGTTAAAGAGTCTGTCCCATGAACTTCCACATCCCCATTCCTGTCCAGCCAAACTCCCAAGAGCCTTTCAAAAAAGAGAGGCAGAGACATTAAAGAGAGTTTCCCAAGGAAAGGACACATTGGTTTCAAGAGGAATACATTTTGGGGAGCCATAACCTTCGATAGTGGGTCACATCCTTCAAACTGGCATTTTACACTTGTAGCTGTCCTCTC